CGGGCATTACCTGCTTTCTGGGCCTCTTCCATTTCTTTGGCTTTCTGTGTCCACCATCCTTCACGGTCGGATCGCAAACTCACTTTCACTTGACGTCTGATGGCTCTTCGCATCGGGTTATGTTCGGGCCCGGCTGGGATATTTATTCGAGATTTAAGTAGCGCCACCGTTCGGTCTGATATCCAGTGCTTGAGTGCGCCTGGTTGGGTCGTGCCACAGGCAAAATTCCCAGCACTATGCAAAGAGGTGGCAATCTCGTCCCAGTATGAGTTCACACCTGATGGTGGAGCACTTGGAAGAGACTCTAGAAGACGATTCTTGTAAGTTCGTCTGACATCCGGATCGGCCAGTCTTTCAGTTGCCATGCGATTTGTCCGCACCTTACGCGTCCCCGGGACGGTCAGTTGTTGTACCTTTTTTCAAAAAAGGCACATGAACTGATTACTCAAATTTTGGGATGCACACCTTACCTGGGTTGCAGCGCGACCACTACTTTCAGTAACACTGCGGCTTTTGGCCTCATGACTCTAGACTCAAGTCCGAGATCTCGACCAGGTTAGGGATGTATTGACCACATCTTCACACTGCTTCAAGTTTTAGGGCAGAGTCATCCCCACCGCCGACCTCCACTGGCGGTTTACTTTTTATTCGAAGGGTCCTTCGGTCGCGAAGGTTGGTTGGCTCCCCTACACATACTTGGCTAACTCGGAATACTGTCGAACTTTGAATATTTGCTGCCTCCTCTATCCCCATGGCTCTGGTCACATTAGGATTTACAGTGAGCTATCCAACTAGTAGTGCCCATTAGGATTATCTCTTCTCCCCATTTCTGTTGCGTTTGTCATTGACATTATCACCGAGTGCATCCTCCAAGGGACCGCGAATCTATACATCAAAATCATATCTAACTTCGATTATGTGAATGGTGTCCTCGTAAATCTTAGTTTTCGGTACTTATTACTTCGCTTGGAACTTATGAGATGACTACGTACCAATCTGATGGAGATGAGACTACAAACCGGGTATCCTAAGGCCGTTGAGCTCGCTACTGACGTCACTATATCGTTAAATGTGTGATTTTCTTGTTGCCCACATGTATCGACACTAAAGAAAGGCACTTTTTCTTAGTCATGTCATCGCCTCGTTTGTTTCAACATTGACTTACTAGGCTTAGACAGTGTGACTCGCGGAATCCACATAGATTTAATATCTAGCTCGATATGGTTCAGTGGTGAAAGTGCACGATTCGAACTCGGCGTACGGCTTTTGTCGTTTCCATCTGAGTTTAGGTAATCCAGAATTATCTGAGCACAATGCTTTCTCTAGGTTGTGTGGTAACCATATCTTGAAAGAGTGCAAGAGCAGAAAGGTTTGATCGTGGTTGGTGCCGGAGCTGATACATCTCTTGTTTACTTTATAATAGCAACAACAGCAACAACAACAGCAGCAACAACAACAACAGCAAAATGCGACTACTACCCGACATCTACTCTATCCTACTGGAACCTCGCCTCCAATCAGCCCTGCCATAGCCAACTGTGCTGCTGGGGTTCAGCAGCAACAACAAGCTCTCGCGTCAGCACAACAGCAACTTCAGCTCTATGCTGCGGCACATCAGTTGCCTGGTAAGTTAGAGCAAGTTGTGTCGCTTTTCCAAAGCTTTTTTATGTGTTTTTTCACTGACAGTTTTGACAGTCTGTCTATTGAACTGGGCCACTTACTGTCGCAGTGACAAAACCATACCAAAATGCCCACTTTGGTGCTACCTGTTACCTCTAGCGTTGTGTTGCTATTGTGTAGTCTACGTAGTTGCCTGAAGCTGCTTGATTACCTATGGGAGTAATTCTGTGACTCTCCGAATGATCTATTAATACCATTCTATCAATGAATTCATTCTTAGTTTGCTAAAAATACGTCTCCGCCCAAACTCTTTGAATTTTGAGTGAGTGGTGTTCAAAAGTTCTGTTATGTTGTTCCCTCCATTCATCCCGTGTGTTCGACTGCTAATAGGGCCATCTTCTTCTTCTCCCAGGTATGATGCAGACATTCCCTCCTACACAAGGGCAGCATCAAGCGATGCCCCAGTTGCAAGTCCAACCACAGCAGCCACAGCAACAACAACAATCCGCCCAAGCACAAGTTTGTAACACTCGGGCCTGGACGAACGCTTCAGCGGAACAATTACAAGCCCAACATCAGCGGCAGTTAGCCGCTGCAGCGGCTGCAGCTTTCAGTCCCAGTGCAACAGCTGTTCATCAACAACAACAACAGCAATATATGCAACACCAACAGCAACAAGCCTCTCCCCAACAGCAACAGCAGCAGCAGCAGCAACAACAACAACAGGTTCAACAACGGTCCGCCAATGACTTTTCTGCCTATGCATACCCACAGCAGCAATAAAATATCTCACTCCAGGCGGCAATCTGTAGAGCTCCTTTTCCCCCTGCGTATGACGAGCATCGGTGCTTAGTGCACCACTTCAAGCAGTGGTGGTGTTTTGTATACCATTTTCACTTCTGTCAACGTTCGTTTAATCTCCATAAGTAGCAGACGGTTTGTGTGTAAAGCGTCAACCGGCACTGTCAATACTATTTCCCACCCTCTTATACAGAGCACTGATCTATGTGCCCTGAACCTCCTATTGCTATCGCTGATCTGATCACTGCTGCACGTAGCATCGCGTAGTGGTAACATTGCGCGTGTGCCATTCCTGTCGTATCCACCGTTCGTGACCTCATACCTGACCATAAATGGGAATTCATGTACAAATGCAGAACTGTTTTCTGCACTGTCCGACATGTGTGGTATTCCCTTTTCTCAGCCGGCCTTTTTTGCTCATCCTTGTGTACAATTTTCAATTTCTGTGCCTTTTGCATTTTTCTCCAATAGTCAGCTGTTACCACTTGATGGTTTTCACTGATATAGGGAGTGTTGTATAGTAATTTTTGTTTGTTTTTATTTCCTCGCGCGTTTTTTCTTAGAATGCGGTTGGCCCACACAATTGCATTTACTACTCAAGCAATTCCTCATTGTGGTTGGACATAATCTTTACGTATATTTTCTTGGGTCTGAAGTCCATTGTCCTCAGTTGACCATGGGCTGATAATACGATACTGCAAACAGACTGGCTGTCTGCAGAATCAGTTTTGTACTCTGTCTTTTGTCTCCCTTCCATTCTCACTGGGATTATCGACTTGGTGATTACTACCCCTTCTCAGGGTCTTGTAAAGTTGACGGCATTCCATACATACGAGGCGTTCACGTCTTCGTTACCGCCACTACCTTCGTAAAACTTATTACCAGTTTGTTTCTCTACTCTTTGCACGCACGCTGCCTTTTATCTTCTACAGGCGGTTGTTCATCATACACACCACTGTTTATATCCAACCGACTGGTTGTCGCTGTCATGTTTTACGTCTTCTGATTGTATTGGTCTCGAACTAATGTCCTCACCGCTCAGTTTCCTTCGCTAATCATGGCGCCTAACTGTCCAGCGCGGACGGACTACTCTCTCCTCCAATTGGCTCTTTATAGCATCGTTGGAGCGCAGAGATTTCCCCCTGGTAATCTTTTAAGGAGCATACCTACAGAGAAGACGTCCATGATTTCTCTTGTTCTCCGCTTCAGACTTGCTTTTTTGTTTGTTTCTGTTTTTGTATCGATCCCACCGCTCCCCTCCGCAATCTGAATTCAGAGTTTCCATTGAGAAACCGTTCCAGATTATTTCTGCTTTCATTCGGCCTACTATTTTTGACACCGACATCCCATCCCATCCAATCGCCAACAGCAGTTTTCCTCTTTCGAGTACTTACTAGTATCACCGACACATTACTATTACTCACTCATACCACCACTGTTATTAGTACGAACATCATTATTCTTCCGCCACCGCCTGATCATTTCTCGCAGCTAATACTCCACCAACCACTAAGACTATTGTGCGTTTTTATTTCACTCCTCGTCGGATGCAATGTATTTTACGGCCGTCCATTGTATTTTACTCTTCCCATCTTTGTGTATTTTTGTGTGAACACTAAGACAGTGTTTAAACGATGTTCGTTTTTCTGTGAGAAGTCGCGAAAGGGTGTTTGTTGTCCTGTGGGGTCGCATTACTTGTTTGGCGTCTATTGTGAGTTATGAAGGCGTGGTCACATACCAAATGTTTTCGCCCGAAAGTTCTTGACCATTAGTATGCTCCTATAGAAGGCAAACGTATGAGTTTGACACAGAACAAAACCCAGTGTCCTGAACAACAGTTGATCGAGATTGTTGCAGACAGCCGACTATGCGGCCTTTCTTTTCGTTGGATAGGACGCGCAATCTATCATTATTCCTTGTGCTTTTTCGGGTGGGGCTTCCGTCGCGATTCCGTTACCCGAGCACCCCTAAATTTATTCAGACTGGTTTATCGCGATGTTTGTTTCAGTGAACGAACCCCATGTATAGGAATCCAGGTTGACGTTGGCTGAGAATGATGTTTGGTTCAACTCAAAACTAGTTTGACCCAGCTTTGACATTTCAGCCACTGCTACTTATCAGATAAGCTTTCCCCTCACTTAGCATATGAATTTTAGACCCGATGAGAAAAAGGCAATGGTATTCCCACCGCTTCTGCACATGGCTATCCTTCGCGACCATGTTGCTGTGCATATCCGAATTAGCCTAATTTACCATTGTAAGGACAAGTCCCTTCTGGTGTGACTGAATTTCGAGGTAGTTGAACAGTTTGAATCATTTTTCTAACTGCGTTGCAGCAACACCATCTCTATAGTCCTGTTCTTCGACAAGGTCTTATTCTGATCTAGCTATCCTCAAGCTGACTTGTTCTGACGTACATTGTAAGCTGGCTGCAGTTAGCTAACACGCAGTGCTATTATCAGTTTCAAAGGCATCTTAATGGCGGGTCCTCCACGGTGTTGCGTGTCTCCGAACAATGGATTATGGTCACACAGAGCAGTCCACAGTAGCGTTTTCGAGAACTCGCTGATGAGTGAAAGTCGTTCAAACAAATGATTCAAAATGCCAACTTAGACACACTGGTAGGACACCGAGTGGACATGCATAATAGCGGTATGCACAAATAGGTGATTTATCCTGCGAGAATTGATTACGGACCACTGAAGTACCTTATTGTGTGTAATCCAGTATAACGGTGAATAACCACTGGAAAATTGATAAAACTCGTGTTCCTGTGTATGCTCCAACATCATTTGTTCTCGATTCCCACTTGATATGCTTACGATGGTACGAACCAACAGTAGGACAAACTATGACGTTACAAAGGGATGATCGAAAGCGTGGTTGCTGTCCACTTTCCAAGATGAGCTCCGAGATATGGATGGGCGTTAACTGATGCCAGTGACATCCGTGCTGTTAGTGTATATTGAGATTGACTAAATGTTTGAATATGTAGACACTAGCTATTTGTGGTAAGCTGGTAGAAGGTTCCTTTCCTTATCTTCGTTATCTAGGTGAATTGACGTGTTTGTACGACGACAGTTAAGCACCATTGTATTCACGTGTTGTTCTCAGTGCTGATGTGGATGATTATACGTCGCAACTAACGGTACCGTGTATGAATCCTAGTTTAGTCTATTGCTCCAGTCATTTCGGATAAAGCCTGCTGTTGCGGATACTACGGCGACTGTACTAATGATATTGTTGCCTAACAGTCAATGTGTAAATGTGGGTCAACGGCAAGGGGGTGAGCATTGTGGCACGACCTCGGAGGATAAGTTGGCTGTCGAACATTAGAAAATATCCGTTTTTCCTCTTCCTGGGAGGGTTGCAATGGAAAAAACTGCTCCAAACGAGTGCTCTCTCTCTTTTGAGAGGGAGAGTATTCAGTCCATTTTCACTAGCTTTCGGTCTGCTTATCTGTTTCTAGATCACATCGGATTCTACTCCTCCGGTCACTCAGTCCGTAAGTACCCCGTATTACCCTTAGTCAAGTCTTGGGGTGCTGCAGACCTTCTTCATATAAGCAAATTGTATGAAACTGCCTGAACGTATTAGCTAATGCTTATCCTACTAGGCACGCTAACTTCTCTACACAGTTCATCTTACGACTCACACGGACTCTTACGGATCCGCCACACACCCCTGTGAACTACAGATTGAAATGAAGTTCTTATGAAGCACCTGGTACATTTCAATCAGGTCATATGACAGCGATGGTGTCAAGTAATTTTCCGTTCGCGCTTGATGCCGCGACACTACTTTCCGCCACCCCGCATTTCTTGAGCTACGACGGTAAGATCTCTCCATAGTACACGTTCACGGTAAGAAATTTGGTGCCTATGAGGTTACACGAAACGCGTAATGGCTCTCGGCAAGACTATCCGATTCAAATTATTAGCGAAATCGTTGTGTGCTCCGAACAGGTTCATAGAATTCGCCTTTACTAGATTTCAGTGTTCTTGCGATTCCCTCATTGGGTTAAACTAGTTGATTCAGTGTGCGGCATCTCACCGCCTAATGCAGATTCGGCGTCTACAGAGGGACAAGCACGTCCAGTTCAGAATAACGAGTTGATCAGCTTATTGTTGTGCCCTGCACAGCAGCTGAAGACCACAAGGTTATCTGAAACGTGCGGATGGGCTTCGAACGGCTCAACTGCGGTAGGTGATCCTAAATGTTACGTTATCAGCACTGAACTCGGGCTCAGCTGAGCACGTACACTGTAAGACTTGATTCAGGGTGTAACTATCGGAAATCCTGATATCTTGCTGTTGTTTGCTGCCACTCCGTTCAGAATGCTTTCGTGAAGAAGGAACGGCTGAATTCTATCATTAGTCTACATTGTGGGATGCTCCTGTACATGGTTTCACATTCATCCCTATTCCGGCGTTTGTTGGATACATACCTTCATTAATACTAGTCTTATGTTAAGTCCCTCTACATACTTTCAAAAGTGTTCATTTGGCCTCCCGGTTTAGTTGGCTGTCCGGAAGTACGAAGTACTTGATCGCTTGGTTGATTGCACCTGGATACTAAGTTGACTGTTTGTGCTTAGATTCATTGTTTCTTCTCAATGAAGGACAAACAGAGTTGAATATACACTAGTTGCGTAAGGTATCAAGGGTTCTAACACGAGATACCTTGTGCGGGCTGCGTTGTACTGCGTAGCAGCTCTACATTAAGACAACGTTGACAGGGTATGCTGGTTCGAACAAGTTGGTCAGATTACGAGAGCTTGTGGGCGGCTTAGAGAATCCTTGAAAGTAACCAACTAGTCGCGCAATTCTGAGCGCCCACCGCGGTTCGCGAATGATGAGGATAGGTGGCTCATTACTGGCCAACTGAAATCCAGTGTCACGTTGGGGGCCGAACAGAATAGCGCGTGAATGGTGTAATATTTCAAGACGGCGCTGCGGCTAATTTCTCTTCATTGTGTCGCTTTCGGTTCTGTATCCGACTACACTATACCGCGTAGTGTGTAATTCAAATTGTTTGTTAAGCCTTAAAGGCCGAAGTAAACATTCGCACGTGGACCTACTCGCCACAGTCACGTGACTGGACCAGCATTAGCATACAGCCACGTGGTCGTGGCCTCTGTATATGGTGTGTTTCAGTTACCAGTGAAAAATTACATGGAACAACGGGCTGGGTATTATTTATTCAACGAATAGATCCATGTGTCTATTAAAATGCATCAAGTTCTCGATGGGCGCGCGTGGGCGAACATTGAACTACATTTGGTAAGGAGGGTTTTAGTCACCCATTCGATCCGACCTTTTGCGAGAGTTCTATCCGTGTACTCCCACGAAGTTGTACGCATGGACCAGTAACATCCTTGGAACGCATGCCAATATCGATTAATGCGCACCAAAGGAAACATTTTAGGTGGGAGTAAAACACGCAAACTCCATTGCCGGTGTGTATTTTACCCGCTGAACTATCATGTCGACTTGGACTCCACATTGATCTACCATACATCCATACAGCCGAAGAATCACAAGTGCACCCCTCATTTGACGCATAATGCGCTGAAAATTTTTGCCGTCTAGGTAACCGGTGAGTGTTGGTTTGTTCTGATGCAAAAAGGGGCGGGGGCCGGAAACTGTTAGGTAGAGAACGGCGCGCACGATGCATATGAGGAGGCACACTAGGGACATGAATGGGACCGGTATTTATGATTCCCCCTTCCCGTCTCTTCTACAACTGAGTGACAACAGAAGTGTCTAAGCGCTGCACGTTTTTCTTGCAAAAGGCTGTGGTTCCGCTGGCCAAAGAAAAGCAGATTGAGGAATCCGTTGTTGAGCCGGTTGTTGTCGATTTTGTGTGCTAAGCTTAGCAATCGACTTGCAAGCGCCCAATCAACAGTCGAGGATACACCACCGCTGCACCATTGGGTGAGTCAATTAATCAAACAACAGTAACGATCAAATGAGTGAACGCGGACGAAAAAAACTGGGATGCTTCCCAATGGGGTTCGCTTTTGAAATGAGACCATTCTTCAGAAGATCCCGTAACTCCTTCCTATATCAGCCATGAACTACTGTGCTACTCTGAACGAAAGCTTCCAGCGGAGGTCAAATACTCCCTCTTATCACGGGCGCCTCTCGTGGCTGCTCATTATCAGACTTAGCCTTATGTCTGTGCCAAGCATAAGTTCCTGTCTCAGCTTCTATCACAACCAAAAGTCTGACGACAATGACACCCGAGTTTCTTCCTATTCCAGATTACAAACAGTGTGCGCATTGAATCGATGCAAAAGTTACCAACAGTTACCGTTTTACGTTAGCCGGATTAGGTCATAGTCAAAGATGAATGGAGTCAGTTCATCCGGCGTTAACTGAAGTTACGTGCAGCATAGTGTATCCAAGTACTTACCTACGTTGTTACGTACAAAGCTATGCTCTGATGTATACACTTCTAATCATTCACACTGGAGCGCGTCCATATGCGACACTGCTACCTGTCTCTAGCTACCCTTCTTGTAACCAATCTCTCCTCATTACAACCAGCCAGTAAAGTAGAAACCGTCACATACGGCCGACATGCA